CCTTGCCTTTTTTTTCGGTTTTTTTCGAATTTATTACAATTTTTATATGTCTTTGAAGTTTTTTTTGAAGTTTTATGTATTTTTTTTTTATAAAAAGGGCAAAAGTGTCAATTGGGGTGCGGTATTTAGCAACACCCTTTCTTGAATTCAATCTTTCCTCGAGCTCGAAACTCATAATGATGTGGAGTTTGAAATACAGGTCAACTTGACCACACTTTTTAAATTCAAATTCAAGCCAAGTTTATGTATATACTAGGAGAAAACCGCCGTGCACAGCACGGCTGGCCCACTGCAAGTTTTTGTAGCTTATTATATTTAAAATGTTCAACAATTTTTTCTTTTGTTTTAACACATAGTTCCGTCTGATGAGTTTATTTTTCCATAATCACATCCACATAAGCATTATACAATGTGGTCAAGAAAGAGATTAATAATACATATTTTTATATTGGTCTTGTTTGGCGATCAGTGGATAGCGGATAAGGGATTATATTAGCTGATTTGACCAGCGGATTGCATTAACGATTTTTAAATAAGTGTTTGATAAATAGCTGAAAACTTATAGTTGTTTGACATTGCAAAATGACCAATAAGGACATTTTATTATTTAGGGTGTATTCTTTTAATAATAATATATTAAAACATTTAATATTCTTTAGTTGGTAATTTATAAATATATATTTGTTTTAAAATTTACTAAAACTTGATGAATAAGTTATGAATTTTACATTTTTCTAGATAAATTAATCATATGGATGACATATTATTATTTATTAGCACCATAAACCAATGTAAATTGTAAAATAAATAATACAAATTAAAGTTGGTGCGTTTTTTTGTGAATCTTCTATTTCAAAAAACTGCTCTAATGAACTTTTTCTAAATTAGAGTTTAGACCCAAAAAGCTTATCAAATAAGCTATTTAACAAACAGGCTCAATAGCGGATTTGACGGGTCAAACCTCTCAATTAAGTTCAATCCGTTAATTTATCTTCAATCCGCTATCTACCAAACGGGCCATTATCTATCTAAGAATTTCTAAATGTCGTTTCTCCCATAAATGCCTATCCGAGTAGCATAACGCACACCAATATAAAAAAATAGCTAAATGGTTAGTTAAGATAATTACCAACTCCTAGAGGCATGCATAAATGTCATTATTTACAAAGCACACAACCATTCTAAATGTAAAATAACTGAAAATACCATACTGTCAACATTCCATTATACTTTGAATTTGTATGTGCTTGAAACTAAAAAGTAACTTCAAAGTTCACACCAATTAAGGACGGAATCAAGAATTAGGAAAAGAATATAAATTCAAATGTTCTACGTATTGAACAAAAACTATAAGACGACACCATCATTTGCATAGAGGCAAGATTGATAGTACACCAGCCATCTGATCTTCTGTTCTTGCACTTTTCATCAAACGGCTTGCATACCCACTGAAAAGCGATAATTGTTCAAGTTTGCTGACATCTTCCATTGACAATAGGGTTATCTTACCCTATGCCATCGAAATCAACGACAACTCTCAATCTAAGAAGAAAAATAAAAAAATAAAAAAACAAATGAAATATATACTTTTTATACCTTTGTGGTCCAAACTGTAAGTCGACCAGCTTTAGGTCTTCAAAGTTGCCACTTCCCTTCAATTTATGTTTGAAAAGGATACGTATCTAGAAGTATGTGAGAAAATGTTTACAAAAAACAAAAAATGAAATTATGTGGATCATGAAAGATTATTATACTTAAAATAATAATTTTCTATGAGTGACATAAGCACCAAACTTAAATAAGAAATAAATTTTACAAGTAGAAATACAATGAATACTCTTAGATGGAGAACATACAATTTCATGAACAGAAATACAACTTATCAATTAGTTTAGTTTGCTCAAGAAATGAAATATTATTTAATACACAATTAAACAATCTAAGAACCTAAATTTTATGCGGACTAAGCAAAATCTAAATCTTTATTGAAAGAACTTGTGGTTTCTACAACTTATAAATTAATTCAGTTTGTTGAAGAAATGGAACTTTATGCAATACAGAATTAAACAATCTTAGAACCTTTATAGCGAACTAAACAAAATCTAAATCTTTATTCAAATAACTTGTGGCAAACAATTGAGCATATAAATGGTAAAAAATAATAATAAAAGAAAAGGTAACAAATTTATTGTAATGGACGAACACTAACCTTTTTTCTCTGTTGTCAGAACATTGATAATCCCCTTTATAATGGTCGGATTCAATAACCTATACAAATCAAATTTGCATAGGGTAAGAATGATAAATTTCTGAATAGAACAAAAAAATGACATATTTTCAAAAGAAAATGCATAATACGCGTTCAATAAGGGCTTTCCCAAGTCGGAATCATTATCACTTATAAGAGAGGCGGATGCGGGATAAAATAGCCATCTATGGGCTCCGAGCTCGGAGGAGAAGACCGGTTTGGGAAGTGCTTCGTTTCTTGAATCATGTGATAGGTAATAAAGACTAAAGAACAAAAAACACAAGATAAAAATTAGGAACAAATAATAAAAGAGAATAAGAGCTTAATTTTTTATCATTTGATTATGATCAACACCGACTTTGCTATACTATATAACCTATTATGCAAAATATATTCCATTTTCTTTTAGTGGATTTTTATAATGCAATGGATATCTTAATCCACTTACATAATATTATTTGAATTGCCAATTGAATATGCGAAGACATTATGAATGCATTGATAACCAAAATATAGTAATCACTGTGTGATTAAGTTTGCCAATTAGAAGCAAATGCTAAAATTTTGCATGATTAATGATTTTCTTTATATTTGACTTTTTAAAAAAATGGGATGAAGAGAACTTGTGAAGAGCATTCAGGGAAATAATCAAACAATACAACGAAGGAAACTTTTTTGGACTCAACATTTCTCCAAGTCAGTTGAGAAGACCCAAAAACAACACACGTCTATAAGGACAACATTTTCGATGCAAAGCTACATAATCAAAAGATCAACCTGAACACTAAACTTTTAAATTAGTTTTTCAATACGCAATTAAAAGTATTTGAGGGTCCCAAATTTATTCTTTTAAAGAATATAAACTTCAAAATTGGTATAAACAAAAGTAAATTTGAAGTCATATATATCTATGAAATAACATGATAATTGCTACTTGCTAGTGAAGAAGATTATCATCTCCTTGCCTTTGACTTAAACATATATATTTACCAAGATATATGAAAATGATAGGACACCAACAAAAACATAATATATGATTAAAAAAAAATCCTGGAAAAACATGAATAGAAAGTAAAAGAAAGCACTGAATTTGGGCATCAATTTCTCTCACCTCCAGATGCATCAAAAAGTCCCCTTCTACAGCAGAAACCGCTGCCAAGATGCATCTTTCCGGCCGACATCGAGCGGGATCGAAGTGGTTAGATTATTCTCTGAGACCTTAGACTCGAAAATTACGTGAGTTGAGCAGTTGAAACCTCTTGATGCTGTAAAAATGCTTCTTTGTCGTTTTTTCTCAGACGTGAAAATTGGGCAGCAATAGGCATTTGCCTGGTATGAAATATGAATATGAAGAGTATTCTTTGTAGGGCTTAGAGTTGGGAAGAACGAATAAAAAATCCCAGGCATTAAGATGGGTAAGGGCAAAATGGTAAGTATATTATTTATAACACGTATCAGACGCATAAGAGCTCACTGAAGGAATAAAATATTATAGTTTGCTACAGTGTAAGTAACTCCTTTTTATTAAATATAAAGAGAGATATAAATCGTGCAACTTTACTTAACTGTCTATAAAATATTCGTGATCTTTGAATTTTATACCTATATCGTATACGATATGTTAATTTCTTACCATATCAATTAATAGATCAGTAGTCATATTAACTCGTGTATACCATGGGTATGAAAGTGAAACTGTTAGGACGTGTTAGAATTAAGTGTTGGACATGTGCATATTTTCTTCTCTACAGTCAGTTGTATTATTAGGCAGTTGTGTTCAGTTTCCTGCATTTTCTCTTTGTGCAGTAACTGACTTAGGCAGTTATATTCTTAGAGCTTGTATAAATATTGTACTTCTGCCTTCTACAATAAGTAGTGAAAACTGACTTAGGCAGTTATATTCTTAGAGCTTGTATAAATATTGTACTTCTGCCTTCTACAATAATGAGGCTTGGTTTACTCATTTATATTCTGTTGTCTTTCATTCATTGATTATGGATCTTATTTCCTTTCAGGACGTATGTATGCGTTTCTAATAGGAAAAGTATTAAGGATAAGCATACAGTATGCTAAAGTAAAATTTCAAATATAGTCATTAGAGTAATTTCAGAACAATGACAGGTTCAAATATTGTTGAACTGGAAAATGAAATAGTTAAAGATTGATCGGAAAATTTTCAACCACATAAAGATAAAGGCCTGTCACTATTTATAGGGAAAGTTCTCGACAGAAAGCAAGATTTACCACAACAAACTAAAAACACCGATGCATTTTAAATCATAAAAAAGCTCAACAGAAAGGAAGGGCCACGAGAAGAAGCAAAAATCGTAGACCTTCCGATCATAGTAGCAAATACATTAGACACCGGAGAAACAAACATGAAAATGAGAAAANCACTTCATTGGCATGTTCCATTTTAGGAACTATGACCCCACTTATGTATGATAAATCAAAAAATAAAAAAAAAATATATATATGTATATAGCGCTTAAAATCCTCTACTCAAAAGGCTAATAAGCTGAAGGAGTTTCTTCAATAAATAAATGTGTATTACTCATCAATTAGATGACCCTTTTGTCACTTCCCTATATTTAGTCTGAGTTTTCATCCCGAGCATGTGCCGCAGAATGATTTTCCTTCTTGGCGACTGAATTTGCATGCTCCCCTGCTTTGGTAGGTGATTGAACATGCTCGTATTTAGGTGATTCGCTTATATTTTCCCTGGATAGATTCTCAAGAAGTAGCACGTCGGCTTTGCGCAATTCTCCTGAACTGTCTCCTCTTGCTAGACGTGGTGATTCATTAAAATCTTGTTGCACAGAGGCTGATGCAACAGAATTTTTGTTATCAGGTTCCAACTCTAACGACGGCTCAGTAACACTGCTCGTAGGCTCCACTAACTTTTGCTTTTGCTTTTCTGTTTCCTTTACGTTTCCATTTTCCATTTCCTCTTTCCTTTCCATTTCCTTTTTGTAATTGTCTTCCATTTTGTTCTCGTTTTCGTCAACCTTTTCCATTTCCTTTTCATTTTCCTTTTCCTTTTCATTTTCCAAGCCCTTCACCTCCTCTTCTTCCTTATAATCACTGAGTTTTGTGGTTGGATTTGCCTTTCCCATTTCCTTCTCTGTTTCCATTTCCTTCATCTTTTCTTCTTCCTTTCCATTTTCCATTTCCTTTACCTGTTCTTCTTCCTTATAATCGCTGACTTTTGGGGGTGAGTTGGCAATTTCTGTATTTGTTCTTGGAGATTCCACACTGAGCTTTATGTTTGGTGAGGCGGCCTTCTCATCCTTTTCATCCTTCTCATCAGTCAAATCATTGGCCTCATCGTCACTCTTTGCAGCAGTCTTGAGTTTTAATGGGCCAAGCTTTGCATCGATATCCTTAATTGCAAAGGTTAGGGATCGTGCATCACGAGCTGCTGCTAGCCTTTCAGGAGAAGCTAACTGCAAAAATTAAATTACATGAAGGTAATTCAAAAATGAAGTGGGATGATAGCAGTATCAACAAACACAAAATGCAAAGATTATATTCATCAGAGGCAGGTGATAAGAAAAATACTGAATAATGTTGCGTAGATTGTCAATAAAAGTACATTTTTTGAAAACATATATAATCCTGAAGCATCACGTTAAAATGTGTACATTTTCTTTACGTGGACTGTTTGTGTTGAAAAGCATTTCCTTATATTTAATAAACTACTCCGGTTCAACTGGTAAAACAAAGATTTATGAGCAAATAAAGTGTAGACCCATTCAAGACATTTTCTCATGGAAAAACAAGATCAGAACCTATATTTTCTTTAGCCATTACCTCTGAAAAAAGTAATCTATATTAATTTTGAAACTTGTCTACGATTCAGCACACACAAAATCACAACCACGATGAAGTATTGATCACAAGTTAGGAAACCTAGTGCAATCTACAGACATAGGTCTACTAATGAAATTCCTAAACGCTACTGAACAACAATTGTACACAATGAATAACACAGAAAGTTCTCTCTAATTAAAAAGAACTTACCTTAGTAAGTTCTTCAACTCTTTCCTTGAGATCTTCTGTTTTCGCTTCCTTGTAAACAAGCTGCAGAATGCATATCAAGTGAGCGTCAAGACTTTCTGACCGATGCTGCTCGATTGTACACTGAGGAATGGAGGAGTGACAGCCAACTGAATAAAAGGGGCATTTCACCAGCTTCATAGGGCACACAGTTATACAGTGCCTATCCATGTCACGCCTCATTATACTCTCCGAGCAGTTCTGCTCACATTGAATTATCTTGAAGGGACACGTCTGGTCGTGTTGCTCCATCTGAGCAGCACTAAACCTAAAATTGCACCCCTCGTTCAGGCAGTTTATGGTCCTGAAACTACAATTTAACTTATGCGCCTCCAATTCTTCTTCAGATTTAAAGCTCAAGCTACAGTGATACATGTTCTTGAAATCTGCATTTTTTAGAATAGTCTGGGCTACAGATTCCCTCCGGTTAAGCAACCAAAAGCCACCAATCTCCATTTCCTGTGAAAAATCATCTATCCTGTCTTCCCTTCTTTCACTCAGCAACCATCCCGAAACCCGGCTGAAAAAATTCCTCTTCGAACTCGCGAAATCGTCTATAAAGTCAGAGATTATATCATAAGGGTCCTCAGGAAGGTCAATGTTCGGGCCGCCTTCTAACAACACGGACTCGGCCACGAAATTTTCACTCCTTTGGGTAAGATAGTCGACCATCTCCCTTCGTATGTCTACTGCCACGGAAGCCGGGCTCCGGAAGAGGCCTCCGGTTGTGTTGTCGACACATGCAGAGGCCAATCCAGGGAGGAACTCCTCGGCTATTTTGTGCACAATGTCCGCATCGTAAAGGTCACAGTGGAACAAAGCCCCTCCCTCCTTTTCTTCCTCGGGTGTCAATTCAGTGTCATCAGCTGGTGGATTCATACTGCACAATAAAATTAAGAATTACGTATAAATTGTATGATCATGTCCAAAATGCACAATTCTTGGCAGACAAGTTTGTTTCAAAATTTGCTAGGATTTTCAAACACAAAAGAAGCATTTGTGATGCTGACAGTAAACAAAACAGCAGTGAATGCGTCACCAGAAAACACATTATAAATTTCATCTTCAAATCGCGATCAGATCAAGCAATATGACCAAATAAAAACACTATTTCATTCCTCCACCAAATTGCTCTATTTGCAAATAATAACTGCATCAACCGACAAACAGATATCGCTACCACATTGAAAACTCCAACGAAACTATAACAATTTGGCAAATACAAATTCAATGACGTCAACCTTCAACCAGTTAGCCTCTAAAACAAGAAACAGAAAGGAAGAGAGCGAGCCGATCCCTTGAAGATGCACCGATCCTCAATGCAGGAATGTACGCAAACAAATCAAAATCCCATCAGAAAAAAACACCGAACAAAAACGTTGATCGTGATCGAAAAGAAAGAAAGCTGACACATATATATCATTCAGTTGCAGGCTTGCAGCTACACAAAAATGGGAAATAGGTCTAAGTTAATTACCTGTTAGAATTGTTGAGGTGTGGGCAGCGATGGTGGAAGAGAAGAGAGGAAATGAGAGTGTGACAATGAAAGGAGGTATTTCGGGGTATGACTGAATTGGGCCGTCCACCGACCAGTCGGCTCGGGACTCGGGGGGCAAATGGGAGTTGAGACGCTTCAATTCATCATATAAATTATTTTCCTTCATCATAACTTTGACCAGTTNACCATTTTTTTTCCGAAACGATAGAATATTATAATCAACTTAAAAAAAATAAAATATAATTACAACCATACTACAACCAAGTAGAATAGGAGACCGCTTAAAGAAGCGAACTAGAAGAAGGGACAAAAGAACTAAACTAGTGACAAACTACCGGCAAAGACATCCTTTGAGCCCGGCCATTGTCCCTAAACCTAGTTGCACTACGCACTGCAGCGCATCAAAAGATAATACCATCACTGAGCAAGAGTCCTAGTGACATTACCACTACAGAAAGCATAAGAAAAGCAGCAAGAAAGTTCAGACCCAGCAAAATACAACTGTACTTGTAATCTTATATCAAAATTATTTTCATTTTTTTAAAATTTTCTTTATTTTCATTTTTTTATTGTAATCTTATATCAAAATTAAATATTAAAAATTACTCATATTCTTGAAATTCGTTTTAACTATCTATAACTTAAGAATTATTATTTTATTATTTTATATCAAATTAATTTTAATCATTATATTTTATTTCAAGCCGATTTACAATTTTAAAAATATTTCATTCTTTCACTCAACTCTTTTTCCTTACTTTTTTTGCCTCATTTTTCCATTCATGGAGCACCAATTAGGGTTGATAAATGCCAAGTTCAAGGGACCTCAAGTAGGTGAGATGATTTAGCTAGTTACAAATGCACCCTGACAAATGTCATCCGAGTCCTAAATTTATCCTCTCAATCTAAATTTTTTTATCTTGGACAATCGCATCGCAAAAAAGAATCCATCCATTAATGCATGTTCCCAAGCATTTTCAGCAGCAAAACAAATCACGACTTGATTTCTGACCATCGTCAAGAAAGCTTGATTTAGCGTAGGTAATCTCTTTTAATCAATGTATCCCAAAAACCCAAACTTGTTCCAGATTTTTGTGATACCCCAAGTCATGTTATGAGACAAACTTGAAAAGCTTAAAGGAACTTGATTTATAGAAGTCATATCAACATGTGCACCTTCTTTTCTGGCACCCAATTCATAAGAACTCTATTATTATTATTATTATTATTATTATTATTATTATTATTATTATTATTATTATTATTTAATAAGTGTCTTAGAGAATAAGTTAGGAATTGAATATTATTGTTTAATATTTAGTAAGAGATCTTATCTTGTTGAACAAGGTCTAGAGTTAGAAACCTTATATAAAGGACTCCCTCTAGTTTATTTTCTTTGGTTGATTATGAATGAAATATAAATTGTTTTGGTGTTCTTGAGATTGTGATCTCACTAATATCGTCCCATTATCAATTTGTTTGATCAAAATTTATATCCAAGCACTACCTTAGTCACTCTTAATTTCACCCGTGTTCAACACTTGGAAAAATAGTCCGTCAAATTGTCAATACATTTGGTTCGGCAGTTCACACCCTTGAGTTAAATACAGAAATATACTACAAGAAGAAACTCAAGTCGAGTACATTTCAGCTCCGTCTATAATTGTCTTCCCATAAATATAAATAAAGAAAGAACAAACAAAGCAAACAGATACAACACCTTTCAAACATTTTTCTCTGACACATCTATACTAGGCGCACATTTTGAATCAACAAAATTGTGTCAAAATTTGAATTACATATCCTCCAGTTGGGTTGGGTACCCACCCAGTGTTTGGAACCAAAGGTGCATGATTACATAAACATCAAGCAAGCGTATTATCAGCATAAGTCATTGCCTTGTTCATAACGGACTTGATGCGTTCTTCATCGCCAATGGACTTTTCATACTCGAGATACTTCTTGAATAAAAACTGCAGCACAATTTGAGATCATTACAACGTCGTCCGAATGGAAAGGAGCAACTGCCTTATTATAATCTGCACTTTCAATTTTATAAAAATATAAGTAAATTATATGAACCAAGCATGTGTATAGGAGGAGGCACCTTCATCTTCCTTGGTGGAAGGCTCAAACTTATTGCTCTCTCGAATAATGCACGAATCAGGTCCACATCCCCAAACCGGATCTCCTATTAATTTTCAACCAAGTTTAAGATAAGAAATAGTCCTTATGTCTATTGCGACCTTTTCTTATTCTATATTACGTTTTTCTTCTTTATTAAAAAAAGCAAACAAGTTAGAGTAGAAATTTACTTGGTCCAAATAGACGCTCCATAAATCAGTCCTCTTAGGATACTCCCGAAGCATCCCCTCAAACATCGATCTCCCGCGATCTGCAACTCCACACTTGAACTCAAGGATGGCAGTCTGTGAAATAAACTTTATATGCTTGTGCCGGGGAAGAGTCAGAAGAGCACGCTTCACAATGGATTGAACTCCATCACTGTTTTCTTTCAAAAGAGTTTGGATTTTTCTCAGCCAGACCTGAGGAGTGTGGAAAGGGAAATGCTAACTCAGGACACCGTAAAAGTGTGTAAGTCAAGAACGTCGGTTGGTCGACGATCACACGATATTTCTGTACCTTGCATGAATGCTTGAACTTTCTACACATTTTGTCAAGAAGCTCATCAGCTAATTTCTGTTGTTCGGTTCTTTCGTACATTCCCAAAAGGGCAAGGTGGACCTTTTTAGGATCAGAATACTGCAAAGCTCTTTGAAAGATTTTCGTAACAGCTTCCTGAAAAGTCGGTATATTATTTACATGTTTTAAGCAAAATGAATTCCTCAAATCAAAAATAGCTTTTGAATGTTTCATTGTGGATGCTTTTTTTTTTGTGTGTGTGTGTGCGCAAGTGAGGTGGGGGTTGGAGGTTCATAGTACCTCCGGCGGACTGCCGTACTCATTTTCCAAGTTGAAATAAGCAACCCAGATATTCAGCTTCTCAGACTCTTCCCTGATATTAATTGTTCTCAAAGCCCTAAAGGAAAAGGTAAAGCAATGAGTTCCTAGAACTATACAGGCAAAGCAAAGCGATAATGTACAAGTACCAAAGCTAATATATATTTTATTAGTACCTTCTGCAATAAACAATAAACGAATCAAAGGCTCCAAAACGAGACAGAACAGAACAAACAGTAATTGCACGGTGTACCTTTCGGCAATCGATCGTGCCTTTTCAATATCTGCTAATGAGAGCATAAATGCCATGTATTTTATCCATATAAAACTGCTGTTTGGGGAACTCCTAATAAGTTTCTCAAATTCATCTGCACTCCTTGGGATGTCCTTTTCTAGCAGTCTCTCCTCAGCGGCTCTTATTTCTCTTTCCCTTTAAACAAGCAATAATAAGTTAAAACCCAAGGCATTAATTAATTAACATAAAAGTAAAGTGTACAGCTAACTCATTTCCTCACACAGTAATATCAAAGCTATAACTGATTCTCAAACTTACCTTTCTTCCCTAGCCTTCTTTTTTGCTTTCTTTTTGCTTTTATCTTCTGTGGTATCCACATCTGTAGTAGCATTTTCCATCACACTTTGACCAACATTACCATCAATGTCTATTCCATCAATGTCATCAAGAGGAACATCAAGTGGCGGCACAAAGGCCCTAGATTCAACGTCGGCTAATATAGGAGGAAGATGGTCAAATTCATTATGTGTGTTGTCAACACAAGCAGAGTTACTCGGTGGTATCACTGATGGCTCAGAACCGTTTTGTGTTGGAGATGTCTCAAATGCTTCCTCCTGTGTGAAATATGTTTTTTTCATCCCAAGGGAAACTCTATTTCTCTCCTTATCCACCTGAAAGAGAAATTGAAAATTTAAGGCTGTGTGTCGCCTAGGCCATGTAGTAAAGGCCAGCATTTTTCACTCCATGTTCTCACTCAAATGACCTGCTTAATTATCGTTAATTGCACAAAGGGTGAAAAACAAGGAGTGAATAAGTTGCAAATTCATTGTAGTGGGACCACCCTAGTAAGCTTCAACCAATGGCAGTGAAAATTGCACATTTTATCTTGCTTTTATGTTACTCTCCAGACCAAACAAAAAGTAACAGCAACCGAAAAAAGTACAGTGAAAAACAATAGCAATAACACAAAACAATATATCCTCTTCCTCTACATTTTACCACACTGATATAAGGCAAAATGGTCTTACTAAATTTGTACTAACCTTCAAAACTTTTGCTGTCACTCTCTCCCCTGCTTTAAACTTCGTCTCTAGATCATCCACGTGATCATCAGAAAGCTCTGAAACATGACATAACCCAACCTGGCACAAAATAAGAAGCAGATAAGGCCACTTAGACAATAAGCTGTCACTAAGAAACAAAACTGCTCCTTTTCAAACTACAAAAAGTGATCAGTGAGTATGCAAATATTTAACATCCATTCAGCCAGCTGGTTTTACGAAAGGGAGATATTAACTGGAATGAGAAAAACCACGTAAGCGAAATGATAAAAATGGTGCCACAAACAGTTGAATTCTGTAAAAGCTAAAATACATATATGATAAGGACAGATTACTTTTTCATTATAGGCACAAGACAGAATTCAAAAACACAACAGGTTGGGTGAAACTACATATTCACACGTGGTCATCTAAATCACATAACCAATTCTAGGAACTGAAACCAAGAAACAAACAGCAATTCACTTACCACATTCGTCTGATCCATAGATATAAACAATCCATAAGACTCAACGCGCTTGATTCTTCCATGAATCACATCTCCAATATTAATATGGCTGAAGGAATAAGTACTCGACTTTGATGCACCTATTGCATTAGAAGTCTGCAGGGTAACTTCTATCCGCTTAGACAATGGCTCCACCAAAAGCACCCTGCATTTGGTACGTTAGTACTACATACTTCAATAAAATTGAAAAGTGCTTTCAAATGCCTTACCTTCCAGCGACAAGCTTTCCAACAGGGAATTCCTTTTCTGGATTCTCAACAAATGTGTCCGACAAATTTGAAAGAAGAATTTTCGCATCAATCTTTCTTGAAAGCATAATAAAACATCCTTTTGAGGAGATGTTTTTAATATAGCCCTGCGGCAGAAAATACAGGGAAAACATAATATAATATAATTCTTTAGTGAACAAAACAAAATAAAGATTGAAATATAATTCACAGAATTCGTTCTTGTACTATTAATGCAGTAACTAGAATATTTATATTGCAACTATACCACCAATTACAACACTACCTTAATAGCCATATTTGGGTAAAGATCGGTTATCTTGTCCACAAGCTGGGTGGAAGTGTGCCTGCACATGATAACTTGTGATGTGACGCCGGAAACTAGAATTATAGATCCATACAGTCATTGAAAATACTCTGATTCTAATTTAATAAACATTTCTCAATATGTGGTACAAGTTTCTAAAGAGAACCCAACTGAAAAGAGTATTTTATGAACATAAACGGAAAACTACAGAAAAAGCAACCAAATAATTTCCTTGATCCCCTTCTCCAAAGTAAAATAAATAGAAATTGGAACAGGATCAAACACTATGATGTGAAATGTAAGCAAGGATCATAGGAAAATAATGGCTGCCCCAGAACCGAAAGCTAATTTATAGATTGTCAAAGATCTAAACTTACATGGTAGATCCTTGGCCGGTTGATCGTAGTGATAAGTCAACATGGACTATGCCCTTAATAGCTCGATTAATTTCCAGAACTTTACATTTGACAAACTGTCCAAGGCGGTAACCCGCAAGAGGCTCGGGGAGCCAGTTTGTCAATTCAGTAAAATGAACCTTACCAAAATGGTGATGATCAATTTGGACTAGCAACCCCCCAACACCGGGAAGAATCTTAGAAATCCTACCACCCACAATGCTACCTTCTGCTATATGGCGCACTAACTGCTGATCAGAATCAATATCTTTGATTTCCCCTGAACTATCAAATGGCTTATACAAAGCTATGCGCAGCAACTTCTTCTCATTATTCACACTGATTACATAACCTGAAAGAGCCTTTCCAACATGGAACCGAGTCTGAAACTCCGCCAGTTCAGAAGGCTCACATGAAGAATCAAGAATATACAACTGCGCCCTTACATCGCGAGATAGAGTCAGCCAAGCCCAGTCACAGTCCGTCTTATATACGTAACCGGAAACATGTTGACCATAGGAATAGTTGAACTCTTCGGAATTCTGTTCATCTATGTCCCTCAATCCTAGATATTCAATGCATATTGAAAATATTCGACAAGAAATTCTTGGGAGTCATAAACATAAAGAATTGAGCAAAGTTTCAGACAGAAATGTGTACCATTAAGCAAGGACGGTTTGATAGATAATTCATATCCATAACCTTTTTTAATGTTTTCTGTCTTGCTGCCCATAGACACAATCCTGGCTGACAGTGTTTGCCCAATTCTGTATACACTAAATGGATTTCCAGTAGAACTATCATCAGTTACCTGCCAACAAAAAGCTAAATCATAAAAAACAAGCCTTTCAAGTATAGAAGACGATAACAAAATGAATTACACATATATATCCAATTGGACAATCTACATTGTAAAATTCTGCACCTCAGTTATATGTATCCTCCCAAGAAATCCAGATCCAAATTTCACTCTGAGTTCAAGAGGCTTTATTTCAGTAATCTAAAATCAACCACAAAAACAAAAGATCATCAAGTCTAGTTATAATGTTATAGAAATAGAAGAGCTCAAATCAGTGAAAAATTCAATGGTGGATCTGTATTCTGGATACATGGGTCTTAACTCAGGATAATGTAACAATTCTCACCTCAGCCTGAACTAGAGATCCGACATCATAACCGGACCTCTTTTTCGCCCGCTTATAACTAGATGTGCCGACACCATCACTCAAAGATTTGAGAAGCAGAAGCAATCTCCCACCTGTTGCAGTAGCTGGTAGAGCCATTACCGAGGCAGAGACACTGCGCAGAAAATTACAAGTACAGTGGCGATGAAATGAAAAACCCAGGCAAGACCAGATTTAAAGAAGCAAATAGCAGGTAAAAGATATAGTTGCAAGGATTTTACATCATTAGGAACAGTCATCAGTCAATAACTAGCACCCAAAAGAAAGCCACGTTTAGGAGTGGGAAAGACAGCCCAGTAAGGTAAGGCAACATCAAATGCAAAAGAGATGAAATACATTTTTCTAAACAAGAATATTGTCAAAGAGTCCCACTAAGACAGGCGTCCAAGCTATTAAGATTTTGAAAATATTAAAATAAAAACTGTACCTTCAAGACAAGATTACACAGGCACACACTTAGTAACCTAAGAAATTTAACAATGGTCAGACAGACACTTCTTATTAAATGCCATCTCTATATAAAGTTGGGCTGCCTAAGTTGCTTTTAGATCAGCAATCAATCATGGGGGTGACCTGGATGCTTGAATAAGAAGCTAGACACAAAGCTATAAGACAAGTACATGACGAGAAACCAGAATTACCTCTGTCCATGGATAAACTGTTTAGAAAGTAATTTCTGAGTGTTGTAATCACTAAGTGATGCGTAGCCAATGGAATGACCATAAGATGGAAGCGAAAGAACCTGTTAAAAAGAACAGTAACAATAAAATATGGAAGTTTTAGCATTCAAATAAACAAAGTAATAAGCAAAACTAACATAAAAAATAGAAGGGGAAATATTACCAAATAATTTTCTTTCACAATCTCAACAGTGGCATTTACTGTTTGATTTACTTCCAACTCTTTATCGGTTTCTCTTTTGCGCTTCTGCAATCAAGATATTATTCAAAAGGTGGAAAGGGGAGGAATACAAAATGCAAATTTCCTGGCTAAGATTAATCAGAAACATTTTAATACCTAGGGCACCTTGCAAACACAACAGAAGGTAAAACATATATAAAAAGTCAGCATAATTATCTATGGAAACCATCACTATGACTGACCACTTGCCAAGAACACAAGGTAACCATTAAGATATGATACTTGTAAGGCAAACCTTCTTAAGTGTTTCAGAATTAGAGTTCTCTTCTTTTGCTCTACTTATGAATTCTGGCTTCAGAGATAGATCCACGAGGCGATCTATTTTTGAAATGTCAAGGACTGCAGCTTTGACAACAGAATTTCTCTCCACCGTGGTCCCCGCCACTGAAAAGAATGTCCTTAGTTTCATTTTGAACTAGCAATTAACATATAGGATTCAAGTAAAATGGCCTACACTGATGATGTGAGATAAAGCCATATACATCCTTGTGTTCCTTAAAGCTTATAACAACACCATAATCCTTAATTTGATGTATTTTCCCTTCAATGATACTGCCTACACCAAATTCATTGATCCATCTCAATCCAGGGTCTTCTGACTCCAATGCTTGCAGCTTTGCAATCTGGTAAAGCAGTAAAAGGGGAGTACCAAATATTAGCAGAAAACAACGGTTGCAAGTTTCTGCAAGATAACTTAGTAAGCTAATATAAAAGAATCNAAACATGTACATAGGACATATGCGTAACCTAGAATAAATTCACACTCTCATATGAATACACCACACAACCCAAGAGCAAATATAAATTAATAAATTTGCTTCTCTATCTAGAAATAAGTTACAGCACCGTGACATGCTTCCACAAAACAACCAACTGCAAGCATAGCTCAAGATCATTGCCCTTTCAGAAGGGTATTCAGAAGGGCCCAAACCCTGTACCTTGCAGTTAATTGGTTCTTAACTCTACAAAAAGTACCCTGTTACCCACACATCCAGCCAAGACAGAACCAACATTGCCAGAGCAAATCGATGTTAAAAAAAAAATAGGTCCACATTCATGAGAATGTCAATGTTCACAAGAGTTTGAACAAAAAAGAAAATTTATCAGATAATATCCAAGCAAAGCATATACTGAAAGCATATACTACCAGTCAATTTCTTGTTTCTTCACCCCGGCGAAAGGATATACCCTAAACTCTCTCTTTCTACAGCTCACTTCAGAAAAAATTGTCAAAGTTTGACCCAAAAATCATGTTTACCTTTTCTTCCAAAAGAAAATATTCTTGAATAAAAGATGCATCAGTGGAGCAGCACAATGATTGCTTCAACGATAGTGTTATTCTACCTGTTTCAGTACTAACCTAGAAAGAGATACAAAAGAAAAGATCAAATTAGAATATCAAGAAATTCTAGTATTTATACAGTAATTTCTAAGGTGGTCGTACATCAATGACATTGCTGCGAACAGACTGTCCAACATAGAAGATCTCAGAGAGTTCCAATCTTTTTCCATCAGTAGCCTACAAGATCAGCATCCCAGAATCCAAGTAATCCAGTTTTAACTAATTAGCCAGTTGCTCAGTACACACAGATTTGGAAAGAAATTTAGACTTATACCTTGCTTTTGGGAGCAAATCCAGTTAAACGTCCAATATAACGAACAAAGCAGCCATTTTCAATTATATTACATATATAACCCTGGTACATAAATGAATGTGAGCAAAGGAGGACAGGAAATATTATAAATTCATTCTTCCAACAGAGCGAATACCATGATTGTGATGCAAAATAAAGATACATTTGTCTAATAGACATTAGGTTAAACTGTGAAAGCATTGCAAGACAAGAGATTCAATATTTCAAGGATTTTCTAAGGTAATACCACACATTAAAGCGATCAGAATTCTTACATGCACCACGGAGTGAATAGTAACTTGGTTAATATCAACAGGGAGCTCCTTGGCTGAATGAATTAGTGAATACTTGGCAGTAAGTATGACATTGTTTCCTTCAATATCTGCGTGATCAGAATATCAAATAGATAAAAATTATCAATTGTTAGAAAGTTAAAGAAGATCTATACTTGTTTTCTTATCTAATACATGAGAATTCAGGCATGGGATCTCTTGAAAATACTGTATAGTTCATTTCTCCTGAGGACAATTTAGCTTAATGCAGAAGAGCGCCAACCTAAATATTTTTCGCTTACTTATCTTTATGTAGAACACGAGCGTTCAAAATATTTTTCCTTCATTAAGTCTATGAAAGAAAGTATGCAGGGACAAACAGAATAAGAAAAATGGCTTAACTAGATGAATCAAATAAAAATATTGAGGAAAGATATTGAGATTTTACCAAGTACCAACAATTCATCAAAATGATATCCTGGCTTTATGGCGGACATCAATGGAGAAGCAAGGCCTGTTGCATCAAAAACCAAAATCAAATACGTACATAGACAGGGATATCAGGCACCCATTTAACGAGCAACAATTTTTATCAGTTAACTAAAGGAGAACACGCCATATAGAAATTACAAAAGAAAACAAGCAACTCTATACTAAGAGGCTGTCTAGATACCATGGTGGTCAGCCAAATGTTCAAGTGAGATGGTGCCTTTAATGTGACTTGATCCATCAATATCCACAATCACATCTTGAGGCGTTATATGTTCAACCACGCCAGAGACCAGGCTGCCTGGCTTCACATTCTCATCCTTTGAAGCCCTATAAATTAATTAAGAACAAAAATGGAAGCAAGAACAACGATAATAATCCTCTCGAGAAATTGTTCATCACATGCAAGACAGAAATAACTTATTGAACAGCAGTTGTGAAAATATGTTAAGTAACATCGACATTTTGAGTTTCTAATCTGATCAAGAAATCTTTGGAGCATTCAGATAGTAGGGGAATCAAGAAGTGGAAATTACAAATTACAACAAACAGAATTTGCAGAATAATAATGAATAATTTGAACAGAAGAGAACAGAACATGATAACATTTTCCCTTCATTAATTCCGGAGATACACTGGATTTGTTTATTTCATTGAAAAGAAATATCATTCAATAAAAAAGAGACAAACCTTGTAGGCGTTATGATGAAACTGAGGTTTATTCTGCGTGACGCAGGAATACATTTCACAACTCTACACTTGACAACTTGTTCAACATGATATGAGGAACTTATGTCCCCTCCAGGTTCCAAACGAAGTTCAGATCTGCAATGAGTGACGTACTTTTAGGGTAACATGAATAATCACTTTTAATATGTAGGTATTACTATGTGTTTCCTCAATTGCTAAACAGCACGCAAGCATTTTCACTCATCTTGAACAGGATTCAAGAGATACTGATGAGATGAAACATAGTTCTGGAACATGATCCAATATGCCACAATCTCCGTACGTGAAGCATACCACTTCTTTGGTATAGAAATCTTAAAGCGAGTGCCACAAAGTAAAGTTGGGCAAGAGCCATGGATATATTTCCAGTGCATTTGTTATTAGTATCCAATTTAAATTTGATGAGATATAAGATGGAATGGGTCTTGAAACAGGTTCAAAATTACCATCTGCCAATGCAAATTAGAAATTATATGATATATTGAAATCTAAATTGAAGTGCCCGCAGAAGACATAACAGAACAGAGTAGGGAATCATGAGTACATCTTCCAGTACCCAGAAAATCAATATTCGATTCCGGAGGTTATTCAGATTGCAAATGCCTGTTGGAAATGCTATTCTTTCATCAAACCTTGCAGAGTTCTTTCATTGTAAATCTTCAAGCTGTAACCATTTTCAAAATTTAACCTAATATCTTTGGAAAACATAACATTAAGTAATCAGACATCTTACCCTAATATGTTTTTAGAATGTTAAGCAGCCATTTTAAAGCAAAGAAATGAATTTCTATCCTCTTTGAAACAATAGTGTTATAGTAGGTGTAGGTGGCCTCCAGTCATCTCTGGCATGACGCAGTGCCCTAAAGCACACCTTGATATTAATATGATATGAATACGCCAAAAGAAATCCTAAAATGTACATGTAAAAGAAGGAAATCCGCGTACCCATCCTGCTGGTTTTGGGCAAAAAATTCCTAACAGATATAATTTGCTTACATTTTTCACCTAATAACATAGTTACTTAAACTATTGATCATGTACAACGTAATGGACAATCTGATAAACTGTAAATATGATTATTGACAGAATATCACATATCATTCATGAGGGATTCATTCTCAAGTGCTCTCTACATACCTGGGGGCAAATCCTTGAACCCCATTGTAGAACCGGACAAAGCAACCATGTTTTTCAATCTTTGTTATCCACCCATGAGTGACTAGCCCATCAACTGCATCAGCATAGGAACTAACAATTGGTAGCTTCGACTTAACCTGGAAAAAAACCCATAAAGTATGTGCAGATCATGAGAAAATTAAAATACTAGTGACTGAACTCCACTTTTCCTAGAACAAACTATTGTTCAATATTAGGCTAGAAACAGAACAGCTTCTACTGCAAGATTATAATACAGATACGGAAAGGTTATCTCAGCAGCACTTTTCATTCAAAACTTAATTCAAATAGACAGACAAAACATAGACTAGGGCATATCTACAACATATAGAATAATGAGAAAATGATAACTCTAGTAATAATCCAGGAGATGGCATACAAGCGTTTTCTTGTGTGTAACAGTGATTCTCTTGGATTTGCAACCAAGAACTCGAAAATTCAACTCAGCTCCAACCTGCAAAAGGTCAATGCATGAATGACCAATTAGAATCACCAAAGTAACAAAACTGAAGAGTCTGCGAATAACATATTCAACAACCTGAAATTTTTTCCTAGGCTTTGCAATATCAAGCTCTGACATGTGTCGGAGAGGACACAGGGCTTTCACTCCAGCAAATTGTACAATAGCACCAAAACTGTCCACTGCAATGACTTTAGCTTTTACCTCCATTCCCGGCTTCACATCAGCATGAGTGAAAACTAAGCCTTCCACGGCACTAGTCTGTTTAAGGAATAATGAATGAGACATAACCTACTTTTGCAACAATTTGCTTTAAATATAAAAAATGAGACATTGCTATAGCCCTTTCATGTCACTTTTTTCTATTTATTATAAGGATAACAAGATTTTGCATGCTGCTCACTCCTTAGGAGTAATTTACAATGAATAATTGTCCATGTAAGGACATAGTTGAAGTGTAAAAGACAGTAATTATTGGTCAAAAGAGATCAAACAACCTTCAAGGTACCAGTAGCAAGCCCTTCCAAGTGCCTGTATCCAAGTACCCTAACACGAACAAGACTCCCTTCCTTGAAATTCTTATCCAATTTTCCAATTTCTTTGTCAGCAACATCAGCTACCTGAAATATTTATGATAATATTACAACCAGATCAGGCAAATCCAAAACGTAAACGGAAAAAATTAATGAAACTTACATTAACATAGGCTGGGGTTGGAGTTGGCAGAGTAGGAATTTCCAGAAGAAGGCCTGACCCCTTATCAACCCTGACTACTTTAGATTGACTAGAGATATAACCAATTTTAACAAGCTGCACAACGATGAAATTCATATCAGGAAGGAGATCACTTACATTTTGTTCAAATTTTCTATTCTTTAGATAATATCAAAAGGGAACATCAGATAAATTGTACATGAAATGGTGTGCTAGTCGTTGACAAGGTAAAACAAACTTACAGGAGATGGAGCCTTATTACTGACTAGGTGAGGGTTTAACGTTAACCCAACAGCCCTAGTAGAAGGATCAATGAACAAGATTCGAGCATTGAACTGTACAAAAACAGAATAATGAATCACCAGTACAAACTCAAAGCATAATAGAAAGTTCTACTCAGAACACAGAACTATATAGTTAATGCCATGTCGGCATGTCATTTTATAAATAAACTAAAAAACCACTGGAAAGAAACAATATTTCTTTATCCAATAATGCTCTAGGCCGGCTGACATTATGCCCACGCTGAATGCTAAAGGTGTTGTAGTAAACTTCAATTGATAGAAAATAATCTACGATAAAATCCAAACAGGATATAAACCATCCTTACCTTCATATTTTTTGTATAATCATTCCTCCAGTTTGAAGAGGGAAAGGTTTTATCCAAATTAAATACATCGACCTGTAATTTGAAGAGAGAAAAATAAAGACAAAAATAGAGCAAGCTGCCAGGTTTTTTATATCAAAAAAAATGGTGAGGACATACAGTTCCAGTAAAGTAAGTAAGGAAGGAAAAAAGGATGCCATTCTCAAGGGTTGACTGCACTCGAGCAGTAACCAGCATTCCAGGAGCGAGATTATCAATTGAAATACCCTTAAGCTCTTTGGTCTGCATGGAACCAAGTGGATTAGTGAACAGATAACTCTCTACAGCAACCAACTAGATATTTAGTGTAGCAATATAGCAGGAACATACCACAGATTTTGATAACATGTCAGAATCAGAACTCAAATGAACAACCTTCCGAGCCCTGTCAACTCTTTTAACAATCCCTTGCAAAATCTGATTAATGCCCACTTTACTGTTTCCACCCTCTACAAAATACAAGAAGATAATCTATCAAGGCTCGAACATACAGAAAACATCAGTGATTCCTCCCAAAATTCCTGATGTTGATCTGAAAAACTTGGTTGATTAGTATGATAAAACACAATCATAAGATTTTATTACATAAGATATAAGATTTCTTCCAAAGGATATTTGTCCCTTAGATTGCGCAACTCAAACTACAATCTGAGATAACAAGAAGTTGAAGTACGTGCAATGTGGTACTGCTCACAATGTTCCTCCAAATTACTCTAATCAAGACAAATGTTAAACATTCAGAAGAATGAAGATGAGCTATCCATTACCATATTGGGTTTCTTTCGGCATAAATCCTGCAAAAGAGGGCAATCCAAAATGAAGAATGAAACCGTGATCCTCAATGCTTTTCACGTATGCGCTAAGAACCTGACCGGGAAAAAATTGAACATGTTATACATATTTAACAAACATAGACTTCCTAGACCCAACAAAATACAGGTACCCTTTAAACCAATAACATCAATTAATCCATGAAGTTACAACCAGCAGCCAGCTAAAAACAAACTTCTTTAGACCAAGGTAACGGTTTCACAGTGTTCGTACCATTCCCTCTTGAATTGTATCCAAAGATAAATTTTTGTGCAGGAAAGATAGACGCAAAGAAAGCCAAATCTTCCGTTTTGTTATTTCTTTCTTATCGTCATCTACTTGCAGTACGGTGCAAGACACAAGCTGCCCTTCGTGATAGATTCTCGACAGGAATCCATTCTCCACATCCTGCCATTCAAAGAAATCTTGTTAAAAGCTTTTCAATCTTAGTCATTTCATAAGCTGATCTCTCTTCAATGAAAAGAGATAAAAGGGAAAAAACTGTGAGTCAAATCAGTCAGGGATATTTAAAAGGCATGACAGAGTTATCCCATGGTAAATAAAAGAAAAGGACAAAACAAATCACCACTTTCACTTCATCATCCAGAATGGGATCAAAAGCATCGGATGCACGAACTAATCCCCTTAATCCCCCAGGAAGACTAACAGCAATGTCTTTTTCGTTTACCTCAGCAATCACACCCCATAGCTTCATGCCCGAAGAAACATTCTGAAATACATGAAGGAAAAAACTAAGTTGCATATTATACTAATAAAATAGAATAAAAAACGTTAAAACAAAATCTAAGTGCTGATTAAAGTTGAGCCGAAGTAATGAAGACCCATACAAAATCTCATGACCCTAGTCCCTAGATACATTTGATGAAACTGGAGTCATCGCCAAATTTTAAATTTTCATCATTCTAAGCTGCAGTACTTAAATAAGTATCTCATAAACAAGAGTGGCATGAAATGAATTATAACATTGTCGGTTCTCCTTACTACACAAACTTTAACCTCAATCAAGTGATCATGATTTTCAAAAGATGAAGGGTGGTGGTACAACCAAGACTGTAAACATTTGAAAGCAAGGAATTTGATGGGCCAATAATTAAGTCATTTATAATTCCAAATGTAAACTACATAAAACTTTTCAATAAATTTTCTCACTTATACAAAAAATGAAAGCAATCAGCACTTCTGACAAATAGTCCACAACCAAGAGAGAATAGATGAAGCAACTGAAGAGTGATGTATATGGTAGGAGACCGTGAAAGAATGAAAACAACCATGTTCTCAATAATGAAACCTAAGATTTTTTTATTTTTTATTTTTCAACTCCACAGTCCACAATTCCAAAGCTCATGCTGATATGGCACACACATTCAGCATACTACATGGTCCACATCCAAGGGCTAGATCACCAAAATTTAGGTATCTTCTTTACAATGTGGTTCAAATCATTGCCAAGAGGAATTTTCTACGAACAGATAATTACAAATGTATCAACGCGGCATTGCTATTTCACTGGGGAGAGTCTACTAAACAGGGTAGAGGAGAACAAGAAACAAAAAACATAAATATATCAATAAAAAGTAATACCTTCAGAGTGATCTTATTAGCAAACCTCGGAAACTTCCCAGTGATCCCATCTCCAAAGAGCGTACCTAATTCATCCTCTGTGGACTGGCTCTTATTTTGAACTCGCTTTTCCTTCTTCCTTTTCTTCAGCACTATATGGTTTGTCTCAAAGTCGTCGTCCGCTAAATTCCTTGCCTCATTTCTTTCGTCTCTACTCAAAGAACTTCCCCCACCTATTACGCAGATGACCAAAAACAGAATGTTTAAAAAGTTGGATCCTTTCTTCAAGTAGCAAAAAAGAGGAAACACACCACCCTTAATATATCAAGCTGATAAATGGCAAATAAGCGTTTGGCTCTCCTAATCCTACCTTATCGGTAACATGGTTCGTCCCTCACCAAACCTACAAGCTTAGGATATTGATTTAAAATTGCTGCTACTTTTAATCTTAAATGTATAGTTCATTCAAATTTACTAACTTGCATCCATAACCATAACACAGTGAGAGAGAGAGAGAGAGAACCTCGGGGGAAGTCAGGGGCCTCGTCGTCGGCCTGAGGCAACTGCACGGTTGAAAGAGCTCCGTTGGAGTTGCTTCCCTCAGGCTTCGCACGTTTCTTAGACGGCCTCTGATGCTTCCTAAGGCTGGGTGTAGATTCAGATTTCTTCGACGGCGGCGCCATTTTCAAACCGCTCGCAGCAATATTTTGCCGAAATTCAGAAGGTTTTCGCCTCTGGCGGCTAGTGGTCGGCTGAAAAAGAGCGGCGGAGGAGAGGTTTTAGAGGGTTTTATCATATGATAGTTTTGCAGCAGCTCAATTTGTGCAGCGAAGCTACTGAAGCTACAAGCACTTATTTTAATTTTTCATATTTATTCAGTGGACTTCTTTATCTTGGTATAAGGCCCGTTATTGAAGTAGTCCCTTTGCTCAGATCGGTTTGGCCCACAATGTTTGTAGGCTCAGATATATAAAAAGCCCAAATATATTTAAAAAGAAAAAGAAAGAATTACCCTGTACACCATTCCGTTCCTTTTTATTTCCCAAATGACGAGAATAAAAACTTCATTCCACTTCAATATTAACGGGTTCACAATTACGAAATTATATCATCCTGATTTCATCCGCCGCCTCACTCCTGTTCCCCCTTTTCTTTTTCTTTCTCCATAAGTTGTCTCTTTCTGCTTTCCTATTTCTTTCTACTTCAATTGGAATAAGACGACGCAATTACCCCTTCCCTCAATCGACGGCGGCGAATTGATTCGATGGCCCATGGGTGGCTGAACAAGGGTTCGACAGTTGGATTACGAGTAGGGTTGAAAGGGCATCGATGGGTTCTCCTTAGAGGGGCATCGAGCCGAGGGTTTCGACGAGAGGTTGAGCGGCAAGGCCGGTGGTACATGGCTCTCGGACTGGCATTGTTGCTGATTCTGCGATTTTGGTAGGTTTAATTATATGATTTTCGTGCAGCTTTAGCTTAATAAAAAAAAACTCAACAGAGTTGTGTGAAATATGAAATGAATAATATGTTCGTGTGGTTCTATTACAGTATGATCCATGATAAATTCTTTGATGATTAATTTAATTTATATTTTCACAATTCTGTTTGATTACCCTTGTGGCATTTGATCCATCATCCCATACAGGTTTATCGAATGAAATTCTCTTTTGATTGTATGGTTATTATATATATATATTTTTTTTTTATTTCACTGTTTGATTTGTTATTGTTTGAGGGACTTGTGAAGAACTGGTGCTTATGGTTTGATTTATCTTTAGCTGGTTGTATGTGGTGTTCTCAATGCTTGTTTGTTTAGAAGATTTTTATGAATGTGTTAATACTTTCTTTCGTTTCATGCATCTTAGTGTTCTGGGTTATGGAAGCGTAATTTCTGAAACCTCCTTTTGAGTGCTGATGTAGTTTCTTAAATCCGTGTCAAATTGGCATATTTGAAATGTTAATTCTTGTGATCTTGGTTCTAATGTGTTGTGAGTTATTATTTGGTTGCAACTGATAAAAACTGTCAAATATGGAGTTTGGTAATTGTTAATTGTTATATAGCACAATCACTCGAGTTCCTAGGATTGGTTGGGGACAATTGGTACCTTTGTGTAAAATTCATCAGCTACATTTGTGATTAGTTTAGAAATGATGCAATTGAAATGAGAAGTTAACTGTGAAGTGCTCTTTTAATTTTGCAATAATCCTTGGGTTTGTCCTTTGTTTTTCTCCTTAGGCATTTAAAAGTAATGGAAATTGCTAGTTTTATACATTTTATGTTCTGCTTATTTGTGAATTTGCGTTTTTGGTTAAGGTGTTGAGGATTTCTACTTGAAGATTGACAGCTTCTGCATAGACGCATTGAAACATTGGGATAGGCCTATTGATTTCGAGACTGATTGGAAAGAAAATCGATTCCGACTTCGGACTTGACCTTTTTTTTTTTCGGTTTATTGTAGTTTTTATTTACAGATGGTTTGTTTAGAATCAGCCTTATGGAGAAAATATTTTTCAAATGTTTGATATAATTATTTTGTGGAAGAATTATGTGTTTAATTGATGTTACAACTGGACAAAAGAGCAGTTGTTTTTTGGTTGGTTAATTCATGTAGATTTTGTTTTGAATATTTCTTATGGTTATTTTTATTGATGGTTTTTGTTTCATTTTGTTTCTAGCTATGTTGTATTTTATATTTTAGTTGTTCATTACTTTTGTGAGTGAATGATTCGTTTTTGTGTATATAAAGTATTAATTTTATAACTATAATAAACTAAAATTATACTATATATAAATTTTTCTTGTATAATGAACTGAAAAAAAACTATATATAAATTCAAATTTACTTGTATTCTTGTTATGGTTTATAAATCTATAATAAACTAAAAATAAATTAGATATAAATTAATAGTAGAAAATCTTGTTTATATACCCAAGATAAACTTATAATAAACTATATAAATTTATAGTAATTATATACTCAAGATAAACTTATAATAAACTAAAAATAAATTAGATATAAATTTATAGTAGAAAATCTTGTTTATATACCCAAGATAAACTTATAATAAACTAAAAATAAATTAGATATAAATTTATAGTAGAAAATCTTGTTTATATACCTACGATAAATTTATAATAAACTAAAAATAAATTAGATATAAATTTATAGTAATTATATACCCAAGATAAATTTATAATAAACTAATATAAATTAGATATAAACTTATGGTAGAAAATAAACTTATAACTATAATAAACTGAAAATAAACCATATATAAACTGAAAATTTTTCTTGTATAATAAACTGATTTTTTTTATATAATAAACTTAAAATAAACTAGTTTAACTAATTTATTATAATAAACTGAAAAATAAACTATATATAATTTTTCTTTTTTTCTCTTCTCTGTATTATTTAACAAGTTTGGTATGTTACATGTTTATGTCTATTTATATTATGTAAATAGTTTGGTATAAAAAATATTATGATTGTTATTTAACTAATTATAAACTTAAAATAAACTCAACTTTTGATAACTAAGTTCTTGCAACCGTCTTTTTTTTTCTGCACCTTTCCTTGATTAGACAGAGTTGTGGTATGGATTGGATTAGGGGATTAAAGAGTTATTGCTTCCTATTTTATTAAAAGAAACGTATTCAAAGAATTCATAAAGTTTGTTTTGACAAATGTGTGACAAGTTTTTCGATCTCGTTTTTGTGGAATTGATACTTAATGGAGGCGGATACGTGTACTTTAGCCAAAGAAAAATGTGGGCTTGATAGAAGGTTCTCGAGAATCGTATGGAACTACTATTTATCAACATCACCTTCATGAAACTTCTATTTTCGCCAGCAAACGTCTCTCTGGTGATAAATCAACGCCTTCGTTCTTGAATTATTGTTGTAAGAATTTCGAAATTTTGCATTTCATTCAGAGTTTTGGTTAATATTATTGTTATTATTAGTCTTGATGTCGATTTTTCTTCGTTTTGTTAATCTTTGGCGCTTTTTTCTTATTTTTTTGTCGTTGTTGAAGATCAATCTTGTTCGTAGCATCTAGGGATAAAAATCGAGGTCAGGGCTGTTAATTAGCTGGAGTTGTGGCTTGATTTGCTGTAGAATAAACTTTTTGTGTTGTGATGTTCAAATTTTTTAAATATCTTTGGTGGTCTTGTTGTATCGTGTGTTCCCATGGTTTAATATTGTTTTCGTGATGAAAAAGTTTGTATTTTGTGATGAAAAAGTTTGTATTTTGTGTACTACAGTGCAATAGCTTTGTGAAAGGATAAAATATGGGCAGAAGATACAGTAGAAGCCCGTCTCCAAGGGGTTATAGTAGGAGATACAGAAGCCCGTCTCCGAGGGGTTATAGTAGGAGGTATAGAAGCCCAAGCCCGAGGGGCCGGTATAGAAGTCGTGGGCGAGACCTTCCGACCAGCTTGTTGGTTCGTAATCTTCACCTTGATTGCAGGTGGGCTCTTCTTTTTCTTATTTGTTTGATCGGTTTTGATCCACCAAATGTGTCTTTCAGTATTTGGTGAACATTGTTCTTATGTTTGATAGTGCATCTTGGAGTTGATGTGGGTTGTGTCATCTAATGCTTTCCCCATGTTCTAAACTTAATTACCGTAGGAGACATATTTTGATTATTTGATTTTATTTTTTTTTCGCGCATGTGAAATTAGAATGTGATCTAGGAAGTTGAATTACAGTATCTGAAATTGAAGTTACAAATGTAGCTCCCTTTTAAAACGGCTAAGGTTTTACTTGTTGCTGGAACCAGGGTGAAAGAGAACTAATAGGCATTCATGGGAAAAGAAACAGAGTAAAGGGAGGAAACATGAAATGAAAAGAGGACGTGGAATTAAAGAGAGAGAGAGAGAGAGAGAGAGAGAGATGGCAGTGCCAGAGAGAGTGAAGAAGATAGCATATCTTGCATAAATTAGAATCTAGTATATCCCTGTGCTTATTGGATATTTTTATCATGTAGTGTACAATTTTGTTCTATATAGTTCTTGATTCTGTACTGGGATGTTAAATTATGTTGCAGGGTTGAAGATCTTCGTGGACCATTTGGAGAGTTTGGTGAACTCAAGGACGTCTACCTACCGCGTGATTACTACACAGGGTGAGTAATTCTATGCCTCTTTCAAAATGGGATAAATTTGAACTGCCTAAATAGAAAGGTTCAATTCAAGTGGCATTTGCTTGATTGTGCAATATTGAATCGGCATAGATATTCTCTTTTCTTCTGGGAATTGGTATTTTATATTTATTCTTTTATTTGAAAGTGTTGAAGACAAGACTGAAGTAGTTAGAGATCAAGCTTATCTTAATGAACTTGAAGATTGAAGCTAAGTTGATTTAAGTTCAAGTCTTGAAGAACTCAAGTCTTAACTTTGCTCTTATGAGGTTAGCTGCTGTGTAATTGTTGTGTTTTCATGATTCTCTTGGTGCGCATGATTTTTCAATTAACGATAACTGATGAGAACCTGCATTGTTAGTTTCGGGAAATTAATAAGCTGAAACATTATTACCTCTGCAGGGAGCCTCGTGGCTTTGGTTTTGTGCAATATGTTGACCCTGATGATGCTGCTGAGGCAAAGTATCAGATGAATGGTCAGATTCTTCTGGGACGAGAGTTGATTGTTGTATTTGCTGAGGAGAACAGAAAGAAACCTTCAGAGATGAGAGCACGAGAACGTATAAGGTGAATGCAATTTCCAGACACGATCTAAATCTCTCTTGGAAAACTTGTAACCAACTCGTATAAAAAAAATGATTGTGACATTGCAGAAGGAGGTCGTCTCCAATTGGTCGCTCCCGTTCACCACGTTATGGACGTTCGTATTCTCGTTCACCACGTTATGGCCGAACTTACTCACGTAGCCCTAGGTATTATTCTCCCTCTCCTAGGAGAAGATGCTACTCAAGGTGTGTAGTAATCCAATCGAAGTCCTTTGCCTTGAGTAAGGCTGCAAATGAGCCGAGTCGAGCCGAGCATTGGCTTTATCGAGCAAGATTGAATTTTTTTTTTTACCTGCTCGTCGAGCTCGATTTGTGACGCTCGAGTGCTCGACAAAGAAGACAACCACTCAAACTCGATTGAAATCAAAATACTTGAAAGATTTCTCGAGCTTTGACTCAAATTTCAAGTAAAATTACCATTAAACACATATATAAAATAATGTAATATTTATATATAAGGGTTAAATTCACTGCATATCTCGAGCCGCTCGTGAGCAGTTCAACCTTCCAAAACCTATGCTCGGTCCGAGCTTTGACTCTGAGTGGCTTGCAAGCCGCTCAATTCGTTTGAATCTTTGGGAGCTATAGGAGCTTTTTGTTTCATTCTTCATTTTTTTTGGTTTGGTTCTGTATATTGATGCAGATCTGTTTCACCTCGAGATCGGAGGTACAGAGAGAGGTCTTACTCAAGGTCATCGTATGGGTCAAGGAGCCAAAGCACAAGTCGCAGCCGAAGCCCAATCAGGAGCTATAGCCAAAGCCCTGAAGGCTATTGATTGCAATCTGGGATCACTACTTCTGCACCAAACAAACAAATTTGCTTGTTCTTTCAACCTTTTCTTCAAGTTGGTGATATTTATGTACTTTTAAGAATTGTTAGCGTACAAAATTTCATGCTTGATGTTAGAACTCGGTATGGATATGGGTATATTTGCTTTCTGTAATATCAGAACATTCACTCTTCATGGGATATATTTGCTTTCTGTAATATCAAAACCTACTGTTCATTCACTCTTCATGTCATTTTAACCTCACACTCTAAAAGAAAACTGAATGATTTTCTATAATAACAAAGTCTACTGTTCGTTTCACTGTTCAACTATACCTAGTTTGTTGGAATATAATTATTTCAATGTACAAGCAAATGGGCGTTCATCTAAAATGTAAAGAGGTGGTAAAAATGTCTAAATGCCATTTCAGCTTGATAGTGTTATACTCGCTGTGATTATTATGCCGACTCTCGTCTTATCAGTTGTGGGCAGCTGATTATAAATTTGTGAACCTTTAGTATGTGTTGTTGTGATGAATAATGTCCAGCGAGATTGTCTGACACATCCATGTCACGTTAAGATTACTTGGTTGAGATAAAGAAAAGCAACAAACTTGACGCAAAAAATTCGTTTTCCAAAGTACTGGTGTGAAAGTTAGGGTGGCAAAAAGAGAGCCTTCTTTTTATTCTCCTAATTCTCATCTCCTCACACCTAAAAAATAATCAAACCAACATTTATACTTACTCCTATAATCTAACCAAACTCACATCTTAATCTAAACAGTTTAGTAGCTGCTTTCATTACACAAAAAAAGGCGTTGAATAAAAAAGAAACTAGTGAAATTAGCTAAAGTTTGTAAACCAGCTGAACTTGTATCCTCAGAAATATTACTCATTTCGCAACAATGGAGGCTTTCTCCTTGAGTTCTTCCTCTATCACTGTTACACCTAAAAATGTTGCGAAAAAGGAGGATAACCGCAGAGTTAAAACGAGCATGACGATATGCTGCCAGAAGAGTGGAAAGCATGCAGTTAAGTCTAGTGGGATTTCATCAGTTTTGACAGATAAGTCGTCTGCTTTGATCAGCCCGGCGTTGATGGAGACTGGCAGTTTGCTTTTGAGCCCCAATGGTAATGATTTGGTGTCGACAAGTGACGATGGTATTGGCATTGTCAAGTTCCTCAGAGCCAAAACATTTCTCATCACTGGTGCAACTGGATTTTTGGGAAAAGGTGCATTTTTAATAGCTTATTCCCCACCCCTAATACACACACACACACAAAATAAGAACTAGTTATGTTTTAAACATAAATTATGTTTCCTCAACATTTTAATTGGAAACGGAAAGATAGATTAACAGAGCAGTACCTGTAATTTTGAAAGTTATATAACTAGTTCTTTTTTCTAATAGGTAGACCAGATCCCAAGTGTAGTATTCTAGAAAAATGTGGTTTTTAACTTCTTTTCTTGTTTGCTACATGAATTTCAGTTCTGGTTGAGAAAATATTGCGGACAGCTCCTGATGTTCATAAGATATTCGTCTTGATCAAGCCCAGGAACAACGAAACTGCAGCCGACAGAATGAAAAGTGAAGTAAGCAATATTCCTGATGGAAGCCTATAAAAAAATTAAACAAATAATAATAATAATCGAAATGTATTGCAAGTNATCTTTTGCAAATTTTGCAGATTATCAACGCTGAGCTTTTCAAGAATCTGAAGCAAATCCATGGAAAATCATATGAAGCATTCATGCTGAGCAAGCTTGTTCCTGTGGCAGGCAATGTCTGTGAGACCAATCTTGGCCTGGCTGAAGATGCATCTACTTTCATGGCCAAAGAGGTCGATGTAATCATAAATTCCGCAGCCAATACCACTTTTGACGAGAGGTTACAAACTTTTGTTTCACTTTTTCACCTCACTAAACATAGTAATATAAATAAGGATTTCCTGTTGAAATAATTGAATATTCTTCAGGTATGACACGGCTCTGGATATAAACACCGGCGGACCCACTCGTCTCATGAGCTTTGCCAAACAATGCCTTAAGCTGAAGCTCTTTCTACAAGTATCAACAGGCAAGCTGCTTTTTCTTTACCCTTACCTTCCTTCCTGCAATTAGTTCGAACCATGGTAAAAATGAAAAATTTCCATCCTAATAATACCCAACTTTGAATAACAAACCAACCACTCCATATATTATTTGAGTCTAGGAAGGTTTACGAATTTTCGTTATAACTTTGAATTATATCTCCTTTTCTTTTTTGGTGTATTGCATGATCAGCTTATGTGAATGGACAAAGGCTAGGCAGGATTATGGAGAAGCCCTTCAGCATGGGTGAAAGCATAGCAGGCGAGACTGTAGCTTACAAAAACCACCACCAGCTACCCTTTCCCAAATTGAGCGTCGAGGATGAAATCAAGATAGTTTTGGAGTCTAAAAGAGGTCTCGATAATAATGCACAGCTTCACAAAATGAAAGAATTAGGTTTGCAGAGGTAACAAGACATCCGTTTGTAGATCGGTTTAAATTTTCCATGAAACTGTTTTCAAAAATAAAAAATCCTCACACTCGCAATATTTCTGATTGATTTGGTCAGAGCAAAGAAATTCGGCTGGCAAGACACGTATGTGTTTACAAAGGCTATGGGTGAAATGATGATAGACAAACTAAGAGGGGACATACCTGTGGTAGTAATCAGGCCAAGCGTTATCGAGAGCACGTACAAAGAACCATTCCCTGGATGGATGGAAGGAAACAGGTGAATGTGATTTGCTCATAGTTTTTCTTAAAACAAATTAAAAAAATTTTAAATTATTTACTTCAGGTTGATTTATTAAATAAAACATATTTGCTTTCCAGGATGATGGATCCAATCATCCTGCAATATGGCAAGGGCCAGCTGACTGGATTTCTAGTCAACCCGGATGGAGTTCTTGATGTAGTATGTAGCTAAAACACAAATGGTTTATCATTAATTTTCATCATTATAGCTAGAAACTCAAAAGGTAGTGATAAAAATAAAATACCGAAAATTGGATCTTTGTATCAGGTTCCAGCAGACATGGTCGTGAATGCAACCTTGGCAGCCATGGCAAAGCATGGGTCGACCGGAAAGCCAGAATACAGAATCTACCAGGTGGCTTCGTCTGTAGTTAATCCTTTAGTCTTCAGGGACTTGGCTAAGTTCCTATACGAACACTTTAGCTCCTCCCCATTCATAGACACAACGGGTAGTCCAGTCCGCATTCCCAAGATGAAGCTATTCGACTCCATGGATGATTTCTCTTCTCACCTCTGGAGGCATGCTATCAACCGAACGGGATTAGGAGCTCTGGCCAACCTCGATGGAAAATTGTCTCAGAAGCTCGAGCTCATCTGCAGAAAATCAGTGGAACAAGCCAAGTACATGGCAAATATCTACGAGTCCTACACTTTCTACGGTGGAA